ACGGACTTACAACGCTAGAATCCGGGTTTCGATACCTGTGGTGGGAAGAGCACAGATAACCCATTCTGTAACTTTGTGCTTAATTACAAACAAGCAGTTCTTTGGCACAATTATTTTATGACAAACGTTTTTACGTTTAAGAAGGCTCAGAGCATGACAGGTCTATTTGGTCACACTAGCAACCTGCTAGACTGATTGTCAGAAACCTGCTTTAATTGCACGGCGAAAAGACTACATAAAAAAAAAACAAAAAAACTTCATCGAAATACCGTCACCTAGTTGTACAAGTTGTTTGTTGAATTTCGGGCGAAGATACTCTGGGGTTGTTTGCGCTATCCGTCCTTAATTTTGAAGTGATAGATTAGAGGGAAGGCAGCTAGTCAATACTAGCTACCGCCAACTGTAATCGCATAGTTGGATTTAACTGTCACCCTTATAATATATCCACGCCCCGTTTTGTTTTTAGCGGTAACGGAGCGCGTACCGTGGAACCGCGGATCCAAAGTTCGGCACGCTAACTGATAGGCCACGCTCGGTCCTGAACTGTACAGTGAGTGAATTCTTTAAATACTGGACATTATGCTGATTGCGAAGTCTGACACTTTGCTGGTTATATAAAATGACATTGAAACCTGTGAATTTTCACTTGGTTTTAGTGTTGAAATTTCTAGAAGATTGTATTTAATCTGTCTGCGTAACAAGTAGGAAAGTAGAGATGACGTAGTTTCGGTCAAGCTAATAGCCAAAGTGGTATAGCGTCCTGTTTAATAGTTTCAGCCTACTTTAAAACGCTGTCTTTATCATAATCTGAACAATAATGAATCACTTGGTTACTAAGTAATTATTTGCTACCTATCTAGTTGTCTGTCTGTCTATCTACATAATCCAACTTAGTCTAAGAAACATATATCATATATTCTCTATTTATCCATCTTTCTCTCTGTCACTTTGTCTTTCTGTCTCTCAAAACTCGTTCCAGTAATTAGTATTTTCAAAGTCAGACTTTTCAAAATGGAACCAGATAAATGTCTGAAACATCACCAATCTCTAAATGTAAGACACTTATTAGGTGATAATAATAAACTTATCGATTTCTAGATCAAATATTGGTTGGCTGGTTGTTTCAGAGCATTGGGCTATCTGCTATGTACGAATCCCGGATTTATGAACTGTAAGTACCTAAAATTACCGCTTCCCCAATGGGGGACAGACCAAATATATATATATATATATATATATATATATTTCGTTATACCATTTGGAACTCGAAGTTTACATTATCTTCATTCAAAAATCAATAAAGATATATCGAACAAATTGATGCTAATTTTACAAAGTTCTGCTGATAACTTATAGAATGACTACATAACTAGATATACCTTTACAGTGACGACATAATCACACCAGTTAACGAGACTTCCAAAACAGACGAAAAAAAAACAAACTTTTATACAGCTCCGGGAACTATGTTGTTTGTATGTAAAGTTTGCTGCTTTGCTTTCACGGAAGGTGGATGTATTATTACGCGTCTTTATTTTAGATGATCAGAATGCAGGTGTTCTCAAACATAAAGGCAGAATGTATTCTATAACCTTTCGTCGCCTACACTGCACAAGAACAGCAATCTTCTTTTGTTCGTGTTTGTAATTAACCCCAAGAGGAAAAGACCCTTTTGTAAGTGGAAGAGACCTGCAAGACTCAAGACGCTCAGACTCGGATTTAACAACAGCTATTTAAATACATAATGTCTACAGTGTCAATGTATGTATACTCTGTTATATTAAGTACATAAAAGAACACGGAGCCAGTCTTTCTGGTAGAACAAAACTTAAGCAAATCGCATTAATGTATTCTAATTCGACATAAGGGAAGAATTGGGAAAGTACGTCATTTAAAACGTTTGTGAATGAATAAGTCAAGTATAACAAAGAAGGTTGAAATCAGCCATCTAACCAGTCTTGAGATCCTAATTAGATCTAAAAGTCATATCTTGCGATATGATAAGTCATCATTTTTTTGTGACTTGTTAAAACAGAAGTCTAAACGGCTTTGTTTTTAGTTTCTACAAGCTAAATGACAATGAAAATATACTAAAATAAACGTTTTTTTAAATATTGAAACTTTGGTCAGTTATTACACGCAAAAGCTTGCTTTTTTCTTTAAAAAGTACTCGTTCTGAAAAGAAATAAAACCAAGTGATAAGACATTGTTGCATTTCTTCAAGTGATATGATATTGTTGCATTTCTTCAAGTGATATTACATTGTTGCATATCTTCAAATGATATTACATTGTTGCATTTCTTCAAGTGATATTACATTGTTGCATTTATTCAAATGATTTAACACTGTTGTATTTTCTTCAAGTAATATTACATTGTTGCATTTCTTCAGGTGATATTACATTGTTGCATTTCTTCAGGTGATATTACATTGTTCTATTTCTTCAAGTAATATCACATTGTTATATTTCTTCAAGTGATATTATATTGTTGCATTTCCTCAAATGTGGAGAAAGACACTATACTAAATGAAAATATAACTTTTCTTAGACCTATATAGTGCACGTTATGTAGCAAAATAGTCCAGATTAAATAGAATATTCCCTATAAAGTCGGACTAGAAATGGCTCATGGCTAGATACAAGGCTGTAAATCGAAAGGTCGAAGGTTCGAACCACGATATGCTATTGAACACGCTCCACATTTTCAACTGTGGGAGCATTACAACTGCTAGAGTCAATTCTGCTATTCGGTTAACAATAGCCGCCTAGGCGGCGGGTGATGCTAACTGCATGGTTGCCGTCTCTTCCAAAGTAAGGATGGCTAAGCCTGACTTGCTATGACAGTGCCGTTTGACGCGTATATAGTATATTTTATTCTAGGCTTAAAATGCTAAATATCCTATACAGTCTATATGCAAGCGGCAATAAAAATTAAAAACAGAATGAATAGAACCATTAATATCAAAGTTTTAATGTAGAAGTTGCTAAACGTAACTGATAGAGTAAATAAAGTAACTAAAAACACAGAGTCAGAAGTCACATTAACAGATCGTATAACATTTCAATGAGGTATTCCTAGATCCTCTCTATGACCGACTGACAAGTTTTAGGACACCCCTCACTGTTAGAATCCATTTATTTAAATGTAACAAAAAATGCAAAAAAAAAAAAAATGGAGAACAAACTGTATAGCTACTTTGGCCACCCCTGTACTCAAACTGCCATAATATTAAATATCAAGAAAAAAATCCACTTTAATGTTCCGTGATATTGATACAAGAAGATATCTCTTATCAAATGACTTAAGCATTAATTATTGAATTAGCCACAATTGATGAGAAAATGTCTTAAAATTAAAAATCAGATTAACGATAGTTTAAAACCAACCAGCGACGTCTGAACATCAGCGTCCAAAAGCTTACAGTACTATAGTTGTATCGCAAACAGAATTGAAGTCCGATCTTAAGAAATCGTAAGATAACATAAAAACTAAAGATAAACAAGGGTTATCAATTCGTTAAAACGAGTCAATACATATAAAAGGAGTGAAATAAGCCGTTAAAATCAGTTAAAGCTCCGATCCTGTTCCTCCAAAACATGAACAGGATAATCATAAGACAGAGTAAAATTGCTACTTTTAAATTCATTATTAATTCGCTGGAAAATCATTGTGATGGTTAAAAAAAAAGTTTAAATCGTTCATCAAGAATTCAAAATTTGTTTACTCTCTAACTTCGAAATATCCGTTGTAAAACCGATGAAAATATTTTAAAGAAAGGTTCTACTTACTCCGTAAAACTAAAATTATGGTTTGTTTACTCTCTAACTTCTAAATATCCGTTGTAAAACTGATGAAAATATTTTAAAGAAAGGTTCTACTTACTCCGTAAAACTAAAATTATGGTTTGTTTACTCTCTAACTTCTAAATATCCGTTGTAAAACTGATGAAAATATTTTAAAGAAAGGTTCTACTTACTCCGTAAAACTAAAATTATGATTTGTTTACTCTTTAACTTCTAAATATCCGTTGTAAAACTGATGAAAATATTTTAAAGAAAGGTT